AGATACTGTTGAAGAATCAAATAAATTTTCAATATTGTTGTTTTCGACAGCTTGAAACACAGCACCAATGGAAGTTTTTTTAGAAGAAATTTGCGAACAATCGAGTGGAAATATACCAGTGTTTTTGAAACCACTCCGTGCATTTTCAGGTTTAAACCCACCATTTTTGATGAGATCCTTAAACATGGCCGGAAAATATCGACTAGTCAGGCTGTGAAAGTGATTTTTAGTCAAATAACTTTCGACAATCCTCTTCCATGCGCCTTTTACTGTTTTAAAAACGCCAACATCTAAGGCTGTAAAAAATGGCTGGTATGAGCATGCAAATGCCAAAGTAAAATATAATTTTCTAAAGCTTTTTTTTTCAACTCTAAGCTCATATGTGAAGCATGGCCATCAAGTATTAGAACTTTAAATCCTGAAAGTTTGTTTGCATGAGGCAAAAAAACTGTTTCAAACCACGACATAAAACGTTCGGATTCCATCCAGCCTGAACTACTACTGTTATAATAAACATTCTGGGCACTGCCTTTGCACCAGTCTTTCATAACATGTTTGCCTTTATAAATTATTTGATGAGGTAAATAACTACCGAATGCGTCACAACAAGTCAAGATTGTCGTCATTTGCTTTTCATTCGATGGTGCTAGCTTTTTAGGGTTTTTGTTCCTTTTCTACAAATAATTTTGACTTTGCCTTGATCAAATTGCAAACCAGATTCATCACAGTTAAATATTTGAAACGGCTTATCGCCTAAATTATGTACATTATATGCTACTGCTAATTGCTCAAGCCAATTGTTAATTATAGCTGGTTGTGTGGCCACAGCTCTAATAGTTTGCATACCGCTTACTTTCCTCGGGCAAATTTCTTTACGATATTTATTCATGAAACCGGAGTACCATTTTCTAGTCGGTTTGCCGTCTTTGAATAGACTACGTTGGTTTGATTCTTTTAAATAGTTTTCAACAACAAACGTCTTTTCTATTCAAGCCGAAGCCTATATCACTCATAAATTTTAATAAATCAACAATAATAGCTTCAGTGATGTCGCTCATCTTTCTTGGCGCTCCTCGATTATTAGATGATCCTTTTGCTCTGTCAAAAAGTGTAGATTTTGCCACATTATAACACTTAGCAGCTTGTACGTATGACATTTTTTTTTCAGTAATAGCTTGAATAGCTAGCTGGATTCGACTCTCTCGCTCTTCTTTTTGTTTAAAATTATCCATATTCTTTTATACAGTAATACAATTAACACAAATGCGTTAACATTATGGATGCTAAAAAAAATAGCTGTATCTGGATTAGTGTCAATTATTTTTCCCTTGTGGCTATTTTATTTCTTATTACTTTAAGGTGGTAGTATGGTCAAAATTCTAAAATCATTTTTTTTAACCAAACAGTATTGATTTCATAAAATATTAAAAGACTGCATAAAAACATAAAATTTAAAAAAAAATTAAAATTTCACATTTGGACCCAGGTTTTGGGTTGTGAAACCTAAAACAGTCAATAGGTGCTGCGATAAATATTGAGACAATGGTAGATGCTATAAAACTCAAACTTTCAGTGTTTACTTGTATTATATTAAAGAACTCATTGAAGCAGAATTATAAAGTAAGCTTAAAGCACCAAGGAGATACAGCATATACAACTAACCGGTCAAATTTTACCCCCAAACAGCCCCCTTCAAAAGTCCATAACTCTGTCAAAATATAATATCAAAAAAATATACTGCTTCAATGAGTTTATCATATATATTATTAGAACTGAACAAAATTTTAAAGAACCATAACAAGTAGTTCTTAAGTTATTTATCGCACCATGCTAAAAAATGTTGTTCTGAGAAAACAGCAATTTAAAAAAATTAACATAGAAAAAAACAAATTAAAATATAAGATAAACTCTCATTCTAATCTTAAAGATTTCTAATCACTTTTCAATGTATTAACTAACAACAATATTAATAAACTAAGCTTATAATGAGTTTTAAATAATTTTTTAAGTACAATAAAGAAGTTAGTATCTTTGTTAAAAGAAATATAAAAACTTCGAACTAAAAAAAAAAAAATTATGATAATCAAATTTAAATTTTTAAAATAAGTAGTTATATCAATTGAAATATAACAAAACCACTCAAAACTGCCAGAGCTTTAAGCTACTTCTTTACTTTCTTCATATTGATCACTAAAATCTTTTTATTTTGCCCTTATTTGTTTCTGACATTGCTTTACCTCATCAGTCAATTTTTTTTTAGCAATATTTTTAACTATTTGACAATCTCTTTGTTTGCAAAATGTAATACAGTTTTTGTAAGGATATATACCAAGCTCTAAATAAACATTTAACAAACCAGTTAACCCTTCATTGAATTTAATAACAGCTGATGCTGCACCTTTCTCTAAAGCAATTTGCCCCACACAAACATTTTTAGACTTCGATTCCAATTTATTGCATTTAAGGCTTCATTATTGTTTCGAGTTTTTCCATGAAGGCACTTTTTTAACAAGCTTTTATCTGATAATCTATGAATACTGGTTATGTCCCTGATAACAATAGGCAGTCCAGGTTTTTCTTTATTAACATGTTTTATCAAATTTATATCCTTTATATTTGCAATTAGTTTGAGGACACATAGCATGTCTTACATCAGAAGATAATGGCTCAGAGTAGTTAAATAACACAGCTTCAATAGCTTTTATTAGTTTATTAACAGATTTCCCACAACATGGACAAATCACAATTCCAAAATAATTTTGTAACATTGCAACTACTGAATGTAATTTTATATCAAAAAACTTTTCAGAAGTTTTACTTGCAACTTTTTTACTAGTATACAATTTTGTTTACCATAAAATTTTAATGCAACTCAATAGCAACAAAGAACTTAAACCTTTTTTATTTTTATGATCTATATTAATATTGATTGAATTGCTCTCAGTCAGGGCATGTTCCAACTAAGGCAAGAGTTTGTACAATTATATTAAGATCAATTAAAACAAAATTCCTTTCTGCTTACTTTGAAATAGTTTACTTTAGGTTCATTATTGGCAATAACATTGCTGGTTGATGTTGTAAAGTTAAGTAAAATGCTAAATTTTTAGCATTTCTATCAATTAATGACAATTCTTGGCTCGCAGAATCTTTATATTTTGGGGAAAAAGTTGCTAAACTTGATTTTTTGAAGTGCTTTTTCTTTTTTTAAACACTCTTGAGGCACCAGTTTTTCTTCTTCTTAAAACTTCAGTTTTCATATTAATTGATTAGAAATAATAAATTTATTTTAATCTACACTGAATAGTTTATAAAACAACAATAAACAATCATACTCTAGATATATTCAACATTAGTAACTGAAATAGATAACATTTGTTAATGTAATGATAGTCAACAAGATAACTGGTTATATAAGTGCTGGTTTAATGTTTTTACGGCAAAAAAAGAAGCCAAATTCTCTTAGTAATTTCTCAAAGAAAATACTTGCTTCAGGGAGTTCAATAAAATGATATACATGGTGTTTACCTTGTTGCTATGCCGTTGCTAAGGAGCATTATTGTATAGTACTACTTTTTATATAAAAAATAGACGGTTTTATATAGAATACATCAAAAAATAAATAACACTATCGTTTTCAGCATGAATGAAAATGTTAAGAAATTATATTTAAAAAAAATCAAAAAATTGGAAATTTTTGACCATACTGCCACCTTAATGAACATAATATATTATATTATGTGCATGAAAGTGATAAAAAATAAAATAGCCAATTGTAATTAACTGTATCCGGGACTCAAAAGTGTATTTGTTTATTGCTGCTGGCTAATTTGTTTATTATTTTTTCTAGGTACATAAAATAATAATTACCTCTATCCGGAATTAGGTGTCTTTTTTTTTTGGCTGGAAGCAAATTTGTTTTTTATTTTTTTTAATTATTTCAAAAGGTATTTTAAATTTTTTTTTTGGCTAAAATAATCAGCATAAAATTCTGCACAAAATAGTGTTTTTACTTTTTTAATTTTTTTGTTGCAAGTCAAAGTTTTTTTTTTCCTTTTTTTTTGTTTTTTTAGTTATGAGAGATTTCAAATTGAAATCTTCATGATTGCATTAGTTTATATAATTTTATTTTTTTATTTTTTTATTTGTCTTGTAAAAACGTTTATTAATTAAAAAAAAAGTATTCATAAATTCATTATATTAAGGGAGTTATGAAACTTTTTATTAAAACCATCCGGGATTAGGTTACATCCGGAATTAGGGGTTTTTACGGTATGTATAATAATATGCAAGTTATTGTTTATTTTTGTTTAGGTTATTAAAGTATTTGTAAACCTTTAAATTTATTTACGCTTACGTCGTAAATAAATTTTATAATAATAATTATGGCAGTTGCTAAAATGGCTTCACAATGGATCCGCGGAAAATCACCAATGTAATTGTAAAATAGATAAAATACTGATAAAATAAAAATGTTATTATTCTATTTATTTGCATTTAGTTTTTCTAACTTTTATTTATATTTAATTAAGAATAAAATTAATTACAAAATATTAAAGGTTCTTGTGAGTTTTCAACCATGCGCCATCAATATTTTTTGGATAACCCTTTATTAAACCGCCATTTTGATGAACTCGATAAAACTGTAAACCTAGTTATAAAGAAACAATTTTTAAAATTAAAACAGTTAACTATAACTTGTTAGTAAAAATCACATAGTTTATTACATAAGTGCATTAAGAAGGTAAAAGAAAAGTACGAAAAAAAGTTTTGAATTTAATCTTTCGTTAAGATAATTACATGGCAAACTTTATATTTATTTTTGCATAATTTTTTTTAATATACTTTTTTTAACTTCAAAAGATAATCATGCAAATATTTATAAATTATAACGGGATAATTAAAATAAGTTGATTTTACCTTTAAAAAAGTAGATCTCTGCATTACGCCAAACGAAAACAGAGTCAATATTTGTAGGCACCTTCCAGTACTCAGCTATTTTCTTGGGTGATGATTCAATTGTTTTTTGTTTGGAACTATATTCATAGTATTCATTACCAGTAAAGAGATAAGTAGTTCCATTATCTGCAACAAATGCTCCGTCAATTTTTTTCAACATTATTTTTAATCCCTTTAAATAAGTCAAATATGGAACCACTCTCAATAAATTTTGTATTTGTAAAACTTTCAAACATATAATATCTAAAACGATTAATTTATTGGATAAACATTGCAAAAAAGTATTTATATTATGTAAAAGTACAAAAAAGTAATTTATATTATAAAAACATACTTCGTTCCCTGAAAAAAGACTAATTTTTTTTCACGATTCATGAACCCTCCATTAACGAAAGTTATCTTTGTTAATAATTTAGAAACATCAAAAGGTCCATGCGTTTCGTTTAAATTTTTGCTTAGCTTGTAATACTTATCTTCGTTGAATACATAAGTCATCCCAGTTAACTGGTCATAGATGAAAGCTTGAATATTGATATGCTTCTTTGAAGTTGTCATATGTGTTTTATTTTGTGTGACTTGCGTATTGTTTGTGTTTGGTGTCTTTTTTGATGTTAATATAGGTTTCGATCCTTAATTAAAAATTAAATTAGCATAATAATTATGATTTTCTTATTTTTTAAAATTTTTTTAATTATAATATTTATTTTAGCAGTTAATATTAAAAGTTTTTCTGAATTCTAATAATAATATCGCTTTGTAGAAGTATCAAATATATACTTATCATTTTAAATTAAAAATTATTTCTTAATTGGTATCAAAATTTTAAAATACAGGGGTGGGACCGCAAAATGTGAACACTTTTCTGATTGTAATAATTAATTTTCTGTTAAATATGAACTATTTTAAATGTTCAATTTGACCTCCTTGATTCTCGTAGATCATTTTACAACGTTTAGACCAACTCTTTAGACACTTTCTGATGAGTGAGAGAGGGATGTTCTTCCATATGTCAATAATGTGGCGTTTCAAGCCGTCGATTGTCTTTACTTTTCGATCTTTTAACTTTTCAAGCATATATCCCCAAATACAAAAGTCCATTGGAGCGTTATCTGGACTAAATGGTGTCCACATTTCAGGTGGAATGAATTTGATTCTATTGTTGTTTAAAAATGAAATTGTCTTTTTAGATGTATGGCTCGGCGCCGAGTCTTGTTGGAATATGAAATCTTTTTTAGGATATAAACGCTTGCAATCTTCACTGAAAAATGGTTTTAAAATGTTATCAATATAACAATCTGCATTAATTTTAACACCTTGTTTAACAAATTTAAGTTTTGTGGTTCCATTATAACAAATTCCGCCCCATACCATTATTGCCTTCGAAAAACTTTTAGGTCTTGTTTTAAACTTTTTGTGAATGTTTTTTCTATCTCTACTATAATAATAATCATTTTCTTGATTACAATTTGAAATGTGGAATAGTTTCTCGTCTGTTGTTATTATTTTTCGCCAATTTCTCTTTATAAAATTTGATAAACGAGCAGATCTTTGAAACCTCTTTTCTTTAGCAGCCGGAGACAAATCATGAACTTTTTGCTTTTTGAATTTGTGTAATTTGAATCTTTTTTTGATATAGTTGTTAATTGTTCTTCTGCACACACCAAACAATCGTGCAAGATGTGAAATTGATGGGCATGAGTCTTTTAAAACCAATCTTTTGAGTTTTTGAATTTGAGTACTTGAGAGCTTTAATGGCGGCACGTGGCGTTTCTTCTTTATTTGATCATTTGCAATTTTTTGGTGGTCTAAAGTAATCTCATTCTTTAACTTACTTATATAACCAATTGATACATCGATTCCTTCTTTGTTTAATATGGTTTTGATTCGTCTGTAACTAATTTTATCCATGATCATTGAAATTATACGGCTTTTTGGAATTAATTTATATTTTGAAGACGGCATGTTTATAAGTGTTGCGACTTTGTTTACATATTCATTAGTACTTTGTCTTTCGTTTTTTATCAAATAAACTCAACTACATCTAACGAGAAAATAGTTATAATAAAACAAAAACGTTCACATTTTGCGGTCCCACCCCTGTATATTTGATCCTATTCAACAAGAAGAAGAAAAAAAAAAGCTAAATGCGATTTCGTAATTAAAGATGAATTCTTTCATATTTATTAACTCGGTTATTTTATGTGATAAGGTGTACCTCACTAAAACATAATTTTACAGGAGAGCAAAAACAAAGTTTACATTTTTTAATAACAAAGATTTAGGGTTTCTTAAAATAGGTTAAAAAAATAATTCATAAGATGTTTTTATTACCCATTTTTTTTAATTAAATTTTTTTCAAATTTTTTAAACAAAACATTACTTTTCCATTGAAATAAACCTACCATATAAATTCTGTATTCCTAGGATATCGTCTTCATGAAGCTGGATGTTAAGGTCCTTTGTACCTTTATAATAAGGGTACATAAGAGAATTTTGGACACTTGAATGATATAACCCTAAACTGTGTCCGATCTTGTGAATAGCAACCCAATATAAGTTAACACCATTTCTTTCTTTAACATTAAAGTTATATACGTCGTTGAAATGAACGTCACCAGAATTCCCTTATGAAAAAAGTTTGTCAAAATCAAGTTATTGAAAAATTGCTCAAAAAATATAGTAGTACTTTATTTGCTCAAAAAATACAAATGTTACCTTCATTGTTTAAAGGGAAAAACGCATGTGCATAAATATAATGCCAAGGCTGAAACGGAATACCATCACCATGATTACCGTGTACAAATTTAACATCTATATCTGCTTGTGCTTTACTTGTAAAACCGAGTTTGTAAAACTTTAAATTTGCAACAGCCTCCCACTTTGCAAAAGCATTTTCGAGTATAGTATCAACCTCTTTGCGTGATAATCCATCATTATTATCTTTTTAAAGTTTCCACGTGATATTCTAAAAAAACCTTTTAATAAATCTATAATAAAACATTTTTTTATCTAAGATAATAATAAATCTAATTTACATTTTTACTCCACTTGCTTCCTTGGAGAGTAAACCTTCTCTTTCTATTAACCTTTTCATCAAGAATATCTTTTCATCCACATCGAGGTTTTTTCATTACTTCCTGTGTTGTTTTATCTATAACTTCTGTGACAGGTAATCCTAGAAATCTTTGAAAACTTTCGACCGAATTTTGAACTTCTTTTTTGCCTGACATTGAACCTAGATCTTTGTTGTTTCGTTTGTAATAACCAAAGTCACTGAGATAATTCTTTAAAAAAAAAAAAATGTATGTATATATATATATATATATATATATATATATATATATATATATATATATATATATATATATGTATATATATGTATATATATATATATATATATATATATATATATATATATATATATATATATATATATATATATATATATATATATATATATATATATATATATATATATATATATATATATATATATATATATATAAAGAGAATGTTTTTATACAAACAGCGTAATAAAATTACAGTTACCAATGCATTTTCCGGGAAATCTCCATTTGATACTGCAGCAATTGATAAAAAAAGAAGCAAAAATGATATATTCATTTTTGTTATGAAATGAAAAGACGTTTTTGATTAAAAAAAAATATGTGTCCTTGATCAAAAACTCTGACTTATATAGGCATTTTGTTTACTTATTTTATTAATTTATCATACTAAATTTCAAATACTTAATTTATGTTAAAAAAAACCTGTTTTACTTGTTTTAACTAATAGACAGTGTGAGTAAAATTTAATAGAAGCGTTAAGTATTGACATACTTCATCAGTTTAAAGTAATAAATATTTGCTCTTGATTTTAGGAATATCACCTAATGCTTGAGAATTTAGTTATTTCATTAAATTCATTAAAAGTTAATAAAAGATTCAGTTTTCATGAAAATTGTTGCAAAAAGTGAAATTTAAGATTTTTCACACTCACTTTGTGATTTGTGAAGCAATTCATGCTGATTCTTAATTCTCAATTCATTTACAGAAAATGCTTTTATTATTTCATATACTGAAATAAATATTTTCCTAGAATTTATAGAAATTGCGATTATTTTTTAATTTTTACTCCGAAGCTATTGTAAACTTTTCCTTTTAGTTATAATCAAAGATAAATAATAGTAACAACTTCAAAATGGTTTAGGTTATCGTAAACAACGTAATAACTTCAAAATAACTTAAATCATCACTAATCTCTACTATTTAATAGCGATAATATCTATCTGGTTTCTCGAATGACGTTCTTGCACATGGAAGCCGTTCCCACATTTTCTCCTTGGCATTTGTTTATATTTATATAGTCCAAATTAAAAGTACACTGATATATATATACATATATATATGTATATATATATATATATACATATACATGTATATATATATATATATATATATATATATATATATATATATATATATATATATATATATATATATATATATATATATATATATATATATATATATATATACATGTATATATATATATATATATATATATATATATATATATATATATATATATATATGTGTATATATATATATATATATATATATATATATATATATATATATATATATATATATATATATATATATATATATATATATATATATATATATATATATATATATATATATATATATATATATAGTTAAATATATTCGTAGTAGTCCAGCTATTGTACTTTTAATTTGCACTACTTTTTTTTCTAACATTTTTAGGCGTTTTATTTTACACTTTTCTATATCATCAGCATTAGTATAGAACAAGGCGTGAACTTCCTGGTTAAGTTGCTATATACCCACTTTTTTTCATCTATTATTACTATTATTATTATTAGTTATTTTCGATTTCTTTATTAAAATAGTTGTCTTTATTTAGCAACTCTATATTTATTTCCTTACAAGCTACTTGTATGACTGCATTAATTGCTGTACCAAATTTTAGAAGAATATTTGTAATTACCATTACTTTTAAAAATAGAATATTACTATTTTATATAAACCATAAATTATTGCGCCAAACTAATTAACTTTAAAGGAATTACATTAAAAAGCTGTTAAGGAACCACATTAAAAAAGTTATTGAAGTTATCGCAAGTTATTAAAAAAATTAAAAAAGAGTACAAAAGCATAAAACTGTCTGGACTTTTATATAATTTAAATGATTAGAAAAATCAGAAATAAATTGCAATAACTTTTAACTCAAGATATTCAAGCTTTCAAATTTTTTCAATCACACTCGTAACTATGATTAGACATTGTTTTTGAAAATTTTTTGACTTTTTTACTTGATTAGATTTTTGAAAATTATTTTGACCCTTGCTGTTCTTCTTTGAAGAACTCAGACAATCTTTTTGCAAATATTATTTTAAGTTGCTGCTATTTTGATATTATACGATTACTTAAGATTTTGAAATAACTGTCACTTTTATTATTTTTCTAGTTTTAAGTTTATTTTAATTCATGCAGTTCGCAGTAAAGATTATTTAACTGTTTATTAAACCTGTTGAAACATTTTAAATAATACTTGATGGTGATTTCTTTCTGAAGCCAAAAATATGTTTTGACAAAAAATATAAGCTAATTGATCATAAATTTTTGTTTAGTAAATCATTTCGTGTTTGTTTAGTATCAATTTTTTTGTTTAAGGAAGTCTGGAAAGGTTTTGAGAGCTAAAAAACAATTTTATTTAAACATTATTCTCAAGTTGTAATTTGTTTTTAAGTTAAAAAAAATACTATAATATGTAAAACGCGACAAAATAAAGTTAAAAAATACATCTTTAATGAAATATAAAAAAAACTTGGCAGCTTTAAAATATCTTTATATATAATTGAATCATATTTAATAATATACAATTATGTATTAAGTTGTAATTGTAATACTAATTTTAATAATTTAAACAAATTGTAGTAGTTGTAATAATTGTTTTGAAATTTTTGTATAATTTTCTTTTGAGTACCGGGAAGTATCAATTTTTTTATACATTAAGGACTCAAATGTTTAAGGCCGTAGAAAACCTCAACAAAAACAATTTTTAATTCGAATACCCTTGAAATCTAATGCTATTTAGTTATGAAAAATACATTTATAGTTTTTAGAAGTCAATTTTTAAAAATTTTAGTTTTACAAAGCATCGAAATCAGTTTTTTACACTTTTGTATATCATCAACATTAATGTAGAACAAGGCGTGAACTGGTTAAATTGCTATACCGTTTGGTGATAAGATTGTAAGGACTTTTAGAAGCACCTACATAGCTAAAAGAAAAGAATTTATTAAATGGAGAAATATTTAATAATATTTAATAGATACCAACTAATTATATTAGTTGGTATCTATTGAATATATTTAATATAGCTATAATCTATATTAAATGAATGAGACTCAGTAATCAAAAATAAATTAATAAACAATATCAATATAAAAGTTGTTAAAGCACTCTTATTGCTAATAGAAAAACTCCTGTAACAAATGAACAAATATTTTTTTCACAGATATTTTTATGATGTCATGTCCGTTATGTCAGTTTTAACAGAGATAACGGTTACATATATATATATAAATACACAAAAATAACGCCTTAGGCAATCTCTACATACATAACGGTAAACATTACGCTATTTTTTTGCTTACCGTTATATAACCATTATGCTATCCATATATATATTTTGCTGTGTATCTAAAAATACTATTTATGGTTTGAAAAAATGAAGTAATTAACTTTTTAATAATTACTCAAAGATTTCAATGATAATTAGGGTAGATTAGAGTATTATGAGCACCTTAAGTAAAACTTAGATTATTTTCAAAAAATTGTATATTTTCAAAATTAATTATGCTAGATCCAAAATTTTTGCGAATAAACTTTTTTTAGGTATCACTTCTTATAATCCACTTAGATATATGGCACCCGAAACTTTTTCTAAAAAACACACAGCACAGAGGTTTTAAAAAGGTAGCAAAAGTGCTTGTAAATTACCAAGACCACTTTGTAAAATAAGCACTTTAAATTAGCTCAAAAAAATTACATTATTAAGTAAAAAAAATGCTTACCTGACAATTTTACGCCACTTTATATGGAAACAATATTACTTTGTATTACGCAAAAAAAAAATTGGTTTGTTTTATTTTTTCAACCTTTAATTCAAACCTTTAAACAATAAATTTACAAATTTTTTGAATTTAAATTATAGAGAGATAATAAGTATTGTTAAAATATTAAAAGTTTGACTATATTTTGTTTTTATTCAAAAAGCAATTAAAGCCACTACAATTTTAGGACCGAAACTAGGTAATTTCAATGAAAAACACAGGGTAATTTGAGCATGCTCATATTACACAAAAACGGTATCTTTAAATAAAGTCTCTATATGTTTCTATGCATTGTTTTTCAAACAAAAATGGGATGGATTTCTAGCCAACATATTTTTCTTTATAAAAAACAATCTTTTTATTATTTTAGCATCAAAATTATTTTAACAACGCAAAAAATTTAATAGCGTTTTAATTAGATGAGAGACGCTAATTACTGCATATAAATTTATGCTAATTGCACTGATTCCTTTTATCACAACATAAAGTTGGTTCAAAAAATACAAAGCAAAAATAGCTTCACTGCTCCCATTTTAGAAATCTTTAAGTATGCTCATATTACCTAGGTACTTATATTACCCTGTTGTTTTTTTTAACTAACCTATGGTTAGTTAAAAAAAAAAAACAGGCTTAAAGATTATTCTTAAACGTAGATCATTACTCTCAGACTCAATCGTTATTTAATGAAAATTCTAAATGTAAATAAACTTATTCTTTATCATATTCTTCATGTTCAAACTTGATTAAAAAAAATATCACTTAATATAACTTCTTAATTTCTAACGACCTAAACTGTAAAACACTCTATTTAATAATAAATCGAAAACTAAATCATCTTATTTTAATAGAAATCTTCTTTGAAGCAATTTAAAACTAAAGTTGAACATTTATTGATGTTAAAAGAAAATGAATTGAAGTTTTTCTAACAATCTTTTTAAATTAGTAAATAATAATAATAATAATAATAATAGTAAATATATAATTTATTAATTTTGTTATTTAATAATATATTTATATTTTATTTCAAACGATAGCCTCATTGTAAATTTTTGTAAGCCGAAGTAATAACTGAATGTATTTTTCAGTTTATATTTTCTTGTTCGTTAGTAAAATCACAAACGAATTATTTTTAGTTTTGTTTTTTTAAATACTAAATACTTTTAACGCTATTGTAAAGTTTTTAATTACATTTTAAGTATTATTAAAACGTTATTGTAATATTGTAAACGTTATTGTTAAACGTTATTGTAAATTTTTTTATTTATTTGTTGGATTTTTTTTATCTTCTACTGCTACTTATCACTGTTAGATTTACTTTTAGTTAATAAAAATATCAACAACAAAAAGAATATAATTACATTGTCAATAGTAGCATGTTGCACGTCTAATACACTTATTTTATTTTACTAACCAATTTTTAAATATAACTTCTCATAGTACTAAATGTTTTGAAAGTTGTGTATTATATATTTTT